AAAGTTATTGTAGAATTAAATTTCATGCTTACTTAGATACAGGAAGTACAATAAGCTTATGCTTACCAAATGTACTACCAACTAAATACTGGATATACAATTCAACGAAGATAGTTGCCGCTACAACAACAGGTGGAAATAAGGTAATATATAGCAAATATGCTACGCAAGTACCTTTTCTAATTTCCTTTAGAGAAGTATTTGTTGATACAATATATATGTCAACCACAATAGGATGTGATATTTTATTAGGACAAAATTTCATATGTCAACCACAATTGGATGTGATATTTTATTAGGACAAAATTTCCTATTAAAATATGCAACATTCACACAATATATTGATAAATATATGTTCACAACACTTTGTGCACATAAAATATTTACACCAAAAATAAATAAAGCTGTTACAATAGTATATACAGTTATAAACTATCAGAGTTCCTCAACTTAGCGTGATAGATGTTGGAGTACAGAAAAATTTAAACCAGTTACAGTCTTAAAAATGACAACAGAAAATAGGATTGAAAAATTGAAAAAAAAAATTTCTGAAACATATTCTGAAAATCCATTAGAAAAATGGAATACAGATAAAGTAAAGGCAAAGATAGAATTAACCAATTCAGACACTATTGTTAGAGTCAAACCTATGAAATATAGTGTTGATGATCAAAAAGAATTTAAAAATCAGATAAAAGAATTGCTAGAAGCTAGATTGATTAGGCCTAGTAAAAGCCCACATAGCAGCCCAACCTTTATGGTTAGAAAATATAGTGAGATAAAAAGAGGAAAAGTCAGAATGGTAATAAATTAAAAAAAATTAAATGAAGTTACTAAATTTGATGGATATTACTTGTCAAATAAGGACACCCTTATTAAACAAGTACAGAACAAAAAGATATTTTCAAAATTTGACTGTAAGTCAGGGTTTTGGCAAATCATGTTTACAGAAGAAAGTAAACCATTAACTGCATTTAGTACACCCAATCCTTTAGGACAATACGAATGGAATGTAATGCCACTTGGATTGAAAAATACACCACATATATTTCAAAGGAGGATGGATGAGGTAATCAAACCAATTACTTATTTCTGTATTGCATATGTAGATATTTTACTTATTCATTCAAATAACATTGATGAACATATTGAACATTTTGAGAAATTTTGTTATATTATGAAAAAACATGGTATTATACTTTCTCAAAAGAAATCTAAGATAGCTAGAACAGAAATTGAATTTTTAGGATTATTTATAAAAGAAGGAGAATTACAATTGCAATCTCACATTGGAGAAAAACTCCAAGAATTTCCTAAAGAAATCAAAGATAAAAAACAATTACAAAGCTTCCTTGGTATATTAAATTATGCTGAAGGATTCATTGAAAATTGTGCCAAATTGAAAAATTATTTTCTTCCAAAATTAAGAAAAAATATAATGTGGTCTTGGAAAAAACAAGATTGTGAAAATATAAGGAAAGTAAAAGAAGAATTAAAGGTATTGCCCAAACTTGTAATACCACAAGAAGAAGATTTCTTTATCCTTGAAACTGATGCTTCAGAT